TAGATGCCTTATGTTACGAAGTTTCCGTCTGTCATATACTATATTTGGTATATGGAATGATTGTAAGGTGTACATGTCCAACTGGTAGGTGTCATCTGACCTTAACCTCATTTTCATGGTTAAGTGGTCAAAGTTAAGTTTTTGAGTTTTGGTCTTTTTTTCTAATACTATATGCAATAGGTCAACTGTATTTGGTGTATGGAAATATTTAATGATGTACATGTCAGTCTCGCAGGTTTTATTTGACCTTGACCTCATTTTCACGGTTCATTTCTCAGTGTTAAGTTTTTGTGTTTTGGTCTGTTTTTCTTCAACTGTTTGTTTATGATTAAAACTGATTTAACTTGAAAACGAGTACATGGACCCCTCTTTTTTAAAATGGCATTATTACGTATGAAGATTATTTGTACCAATTTTAATGAAAAAGTCAACGATGATTTTTTTTTAAATTTGATAAATATACCGTACAAAATGCCGTTTTTTCCTACAATCCTGAAAGTTAACTTTGTTAAAAATTAATTATTTCCAAAGAATTGTTATACATATTAAGAGCATAATTATGTAAAGAAGATTTTCATAATGTGTTTACAAAAATCCGCTTGTGTTTATCTGTTGAAGTTAGGTGTGTCTATCCAAAGGATAGAAATGTAAAAAAAAAACGAAATTTTAAGTAAATGTCTAAAATTTCGACCCCTTCCATCTCTTAAAGTAGCACATGAAGGTATGATTTTTATTACATATTTGAGTTGCTTAGTTGCAAAATAGCTTGTAAGCAAATTTTCATAAACAAATCATCGTGGGATCGAAACTGTATCGTATGCCCTTAAATATTTCAATTGAGGAAAAAGTCATATTTGACCTATCTTCAAATTTTAATAAAAGTAATAATATTACTTTGACATAAATATTATTTCAAACTCTGGCTGTGTAGGTAAGTCTGATTTAAATGAGTGAAAACTATGAAGTCTTGGTTTCTTTATATTGAAAACAATCATATTTGAAATATCTTTAAGAGTTATATTTATTTCTAAGTTGAATTTTCTTGTTTTGCATCCTTTCTTTATGGGTTGATTACAGACAGAGATAGCAAAAAATGAGTCCAACATTTCAGCTTTATTCTAACTAACTATTTTTTTTTTAATCCATAACTTTGTCTAATCTACACGGAATTTTACAAAACTTATACAGAAGCTTTGTATGATCAAATGTCAGTATTCAGAGCAAAATTGTCATTACATGTTTTGTTTTTTGCATTTTCCGATAGAAAGACTTTTTATGCGTTTTTTGTTTTATGTCTGTAGCAAAATTTAAAAAAATATTCATCTGATAAATGGACTTATTTTTCGTTAAGTCAGCATTTACATAGTCTATGATTAGCTTTCGCAGGATTAGAGTTGTTTTCAAACCAACATAGAATGCAGTTAAATATTTGACAACACCCTTGTTCAAAGTCAATAAATGACATAATAATAATAATGACTTTATTTTAAGAGGGTGACTTAATAAGCATTAACTAATCTACCTTGAGGCCTTCTCAAAAAGCATACAGAACAATTATTACAGATATTACAATTTTTGAACATATAACTAAACATGCTATATATATATATATATTGTCTGTAGAAAAGAAGAAAAAAAAACAACAAATAATACATTATACACAAACACTAAAAAGACATGATAGAGTTAGAGAGTTGTTACATATCATTTATAGTTAAAAAATCTACACATTTTCTTTTAAAAGTACCTAGATTTTCACATAGTTTTATTTCATATGGTAGTTTATTCCAACGTATTGAGGAGCTGTATGTGAATAATTTTTTCATCGAATTTGTATTAGGCCTCACTACAGCTAGATTTTTATTTGCAGAAGATCTTAAATTTTGACTTTGTAGGTTTATAATTGGACAACATAGTTCTTTAAGGTAATTAGGAGCTTTATTATTGAGAACTTTATGAACAAGAATCAATTTATGATAAGAAATCCTCGATTTGAAATTTAACCATTTCAGCTCTTTAAATAAATTTACAGTAGGTGTTAGTAATGGTGCGTCAAGTATAATTCTGGCAGCTCTTTTCTGCATCTTAACAATTCTTTGAATTCCATCGCATTACAATTTCCCGATATTGAGCAACAAAAATTCAAATATGGGCAGAATATATGCATTATAAACTAATTTTCTACTACTTATATCTAGGTATTTCTTAATTATGGATAACAGTTCAATACGAGTACTTATGCTTTTACATACATGATCAATTTGAAATTTCCAGTCTAAATTTTTGTCAATATATATAACTAGATACTTTCGTGTTTCAATAGATGTTATTGAGTTATCTTGTATTGATATATTAAGTTTATGACCTATCAAGGCTCTTTTTTTTATCATTCCAACCAGCATAGAAGTTGTTTTAAAAGGATTTATTACCATTTTGTTGTTTGAACACCATTTATTTATAGTGTCGGCATCATAGCTTAGTTTCCTTATTCATACCCTGGGTATAAAGTGTTGTATAATCATCATACATTTCAATTTCTGAATTTGATGCCTCTAAAGTCATATCATTTATGAATAAAACGAACAGTAGAGGACCTAAAATGGATCCTTGAGGAACCCCATATTTATTAATATCAGAATCTGAAGCTGTATTACCAGAGCACACTTTATGTGGTCTATTTGAGAGATATGACTTGAACCATTTCACTGAATGATCGGAGACTTTATCATGTTTATATAAATGCAATTTTTGCAGAGAATGAGATGATCGACAAGATCTTATGCTTTTTTCAGATCTAGAAAGACTGTTCCTACAACATTGCCGTCATCAATATATTTAAACCAGTTATCTATCAATTTGGTTAGGGCTGTTAGGCATGAGTGGTTTGATCTAAACCCAGATTGTGCCTCGTGTAATAGTTTATATTCTGACAGATAAAGATAAAAATGTTTTGCAACATGTTTTTCAAATACTTTAGATATAGTTGGAAGTATTGATATAGGCCTGAAGTTTTCTGGTATGTATTTATCACCACTTTTAAATATTGGATTCACTTTGGCTATTTTTAGATTTTCTGGGAATACACCTTACAGTACACTTAAGTTAAATAAATATGTTATACTTGGTGCTAAAGCTTCTGATGATATTTTAAGGGAAAATGGGCCAACATCATCTACCCAGTTGCTTTGGACGTTTCTAACTTAGAAAGTAATTTTTTTTTTGTTTCATCTATTTTGATAAATGTAATCTTAAATTAAACATTCTGAGGGATTTTATCTTGCACGAAATTAATTAATTTATCATCTTGAAAGGATGTATTACTTGTAATATATTTATCTCTTATTGTTGTAAAGTGGATGGAATTTCATTTTGAACTTAAGGTTTAATTCTTTGAGTAAAGCCCAAATTTCTTTAGATTGTTTGTTATTTTCTATTGCCTGCTTGAAATAGGACTGTTTAGATTTTTCTGTTAATTTTGTACATTTAATGTGCCACTAACGGAAGTTATTCCAGTCCCCTTTGCTTTGGTAGAAATTTCTCTTTTTCAGAGTTCTTCACCTCATCTGTAAGCCTACCTGGTTGCTTTACATGTTTTATTATTTTCACTTTAATGGGAGCATGTTTGTTAACTATTGTAAATAAAACATATCAAAATGGATTTAGAGTTTTTAAAAAATATTTCTATACAGTAGTGTACATTATACTGCTTGTCATTGTATCTGATAAGAAATTCACTGTGTTGTCTAACATCTGTTTAGGATCAGTTTCAGATATATCATTTACACCGCTTTCCAAATAGATAGATTCATTTTGAATTTGTTGATGAATTTTCTTTCCAATATCATTAAAAATGTTTTCGAACCACATAATACAATCACCTCCTTGAATATGTAATAATCTTGTAGTTTCATGTAGGTGAAGTACAACTTTTTTATTGTCAAATTTGGTTTCATGTACTAATCCATTTTTGTGTCGATTTTCAAAAAGACAATTGTCAATTCTGGTAAATAAAACTTGATTCAGTATTTTTAATACTTTAGTATTTGCAAATGTTACGTACAGTAATTGATGATGTTTTGTCTATATAATCAGTTATGTCATAGTACTCACAGTTTGAAATGAATAGTTTTGTATCATCCATTGTTGTTAATATAATTAATTATCCATCATGCATCTTATGTCTTTTTTATCAGTAGGTATGGAACTAGAAATGTTAATCCCTGCATCATAATTTATATTAGAATTTTTTCACCGTAAAATTGTAATTATTTAGATTAGTCAGGAGTTTTGAAAGTTTATACCTCCGGTTATACAGTCAACAAAAACTGAACAATTGCAAATGTAATGTAATCATCTAAATTTCTGTTTTCTCTTCTCAATTTTGGCATTCGGCAGTTTCAAATCGATATTTAAAAAAATGAAGATATTTGTCGCTCATGGAAAATACTGAAATTATCCTTAAATAAATGGTAGTTTATCACTTTTGGTGAGACCGGTAGGCTTGCAAGCTAATTAGCATACAAATGGGAACCAACTGTTCAATCTGCAATCTGCATGAAGAAAACAATTTTGTATTTTGTATTCCATATTTTTCCGATACATGGACTGCACTTTTGAAGATAATTCTTAATAGTGACAGCTGCAAACGTAGGCCCGACACAGGGTTCCGCTTAAACCTATATGGATTTTGAATAGTTTGTATTGTAACAGCACTATCCAAGGTACGAGGAGGGTTAAGATCTTACAAACATGTAAAACAACGCCACATTCTTATCATAAGACAAGAACATGTAATACAGTGGCTGTTGTTGGTTGCTGGCTGCTATGTATTGATGAAATATTAATTAGGCTGTTGGTGCTTCAAAATTATCTGCGTGAGTCCTTTTCTCATGCGTTGATGTATATTGTATGTTTATCTTTTTTGGATAGTTGTCTCATTGGTAATTATACATCATCTTCTTATATACGGTTGCTATATATTGTTTTATATATTATACTAGAATCCAATACAGAAACAGAACCAGTAGCACCCATAGCTGGTGGAGTTGGTGGAGGTATCATGTTATTAGTTATTATAGCAGTTGGTCTAATATATATGAAAAGGTAAGTTCAATAATCATAACCATGTTTCAAATTGTTTAAAGCAATGTTTATTTGTGATACTCCGTTCTTCGGTTTCCAATAATTAACATGTTTTGTATTAACAGTTTTAGAATATTTTATCGAATAAACATCAATCCAGATATACATGAGATAATTTCAGATATGTGTTAAAATGATATTTAGAATTATTCCATCTTTAGTATGTTTGCTATATGAATAATACAATATACATTATCATTTTAAATGAAGTAACTTTTTGCTTCACGCTGTCATTCTTTGTATCAAAATAGAAGAAGGCGTAAGCCTCTAGATGATAGAGTTTCAGGAGAAAACCAAGGACTTCAGATTATAGACAGAAAGGTATCATTACGACAAGGTATGTATTTGGTATCTATCGTAGACACAAGAACACATAAATTAAAACTAAATTGAAGCACACTACGAAAAGGGTCTTGCACGATTGTAAACATTACAGTTTCTCTCTCCCCAAACTTTAGAGAATATTTTATACGGAAAATCGTTATGCCTAAACTGTTTATAACATTTTGTATATGTGTTCTTCCTCTGTTTGTATTGCACGGACCTGTTATATGAAGTTTATTTTTTTTAACCTGGTGTGCCGAAGACAGGTTTTGTATTAATTTCCTGTTTTTCACATCATTTTCTAAAGGGAAGAGGCACATTGTTTGATAATGAATTACTATTGTTGTAATGGTTCATCTTTTCAATATCAGATATCTGACTTCCATGGTCTGCGCTAGTCCAAAATGAATTCGTCTCCTTTTTATGTTCACGAAAAAACATTCTGTTTTTTCACTTAAGGTAGATGAGGTGTCTAAATTATAATCCATAGAATTTTTTGATAATTTGCCAAAATGTAGTTTATATCATGCTTTTTTAAAAAAAAATAATAAAAAGAATGGGTCACGGGGCTTATTTTCACGCTACAGGTTGTGCAAAATTGACAGATTTTGTATAGATTATGCATGGAAAACCCAATTTTCTGCCATAAAACGAAAACTACACCATAGAATTTTGAGATAAAATATGAAAAGATAGCTCTAATATTATGCTTTCAGATAAGAAAAAGAAAAAATGGGGTCACGGGACCCGTTTTCTTGCTACATAATAAAATAGGTAAATTCCTAACACATTCTATTGTAAAAGTAACTTTATCTGCCCTTACATTTGAGTTGCCTCCCCTTATGTGGCAAAGTTGGAAAAAAATAAATCAAACAAAAGTATTCTGTTTTTTTGTAAAATACAACCATAAATATGATAAAACATGTCATTTTCTATATTAAAATGAAAATTCTTACACATGAATTACCTACTACTCTCAAAATTTGCACATTTTCTTAAAGATCTAGACCGATTGTTTTCTGATATTTCAAAATCCAAGATGGAGGAAGACACCCTATCTACCTTAAAATTTTAAAAGAGAGATTTGGTAGGATGGTGCATGATTATACTTACATGCAGCTGGTGACGTACACTTTAATGTCTCAAATACTATCGTCACCGACATTTTACCATTTAGTTTTGGATGGTTTTTAGGCATTTATTCGTTCATTTCGTGTTGCTCAGTCTTTAGTTTTCTATGATTTTTTTTATACTATTGTTTGTCTGTTTGTCTTTTTCTTTTTTAGTCATGGCGTTGTCTGTTTATTTTCGATTGATGAGCTTGAATGTTCCTCTTGTATATTTGCCCCTCTTTTGCTTAGTTTCTTCTGCTAACTACTCTAACATCGGACTCGGACTTCTTTTAAACTGAGTTTTACTGTGCGTATTTCTGTGTGTTTGTTTATTCTACATTGGCTAGATGTATAGGGGAGGGTTGAGATCTCACAAAACATGGTTAACCCCGCCGCATTTTTTTAATTCAAGTTCATTTATATGTTTCGGAGTTTAGTGTGACGTCCATTTCACTGAACTAGTAAACATGTTTGTTCAGCGACCAGCTTTGTGATTTTCTTGCTCTCTCTCTCCTCTCTCGTTTTTGTGGCTTTAATCTGTAACAGTTCAGTTTGCTAGTCAGATACTACAGTGTAAAAATTATCATTACTTTCTATTTCTGACGGCCGTTATAATAGTGTAACGTAACCTATGACTATCTATACTTTATTGCATGTACAAACATAAATGTATTACATTTTTGCATGAACCCAGTCAAACTAAATAAAAGCAATGTATATTTTATACAACATGCTATAACTCGAAATTTATTTTAATTTTGCTTTGCTTCTCAAGCTACTTCACTGATAATTAAAGATTATACGTATGCAACAACTGAACGAACAAAAGAATAATTCACGAATGCTCGTGGTGTGGTAGCTAATTATCAACGGTGTTGGTCATGACTGGAATATTTTTAAATATTTGAACACCTCGGTTAGTTATTCTTTGTATTACATTTTAACATTGCCTTCAAAAAGCGATAAACAGATTATCTATGGTCTTTCAACTCGAGGAAAATTCTAGGCTAAAACTTATCTTAGGACTATCGCCATCACACGTGATTGTACTTGAGAAACTCCCTCTTGTTTTTCAAACCAAAGAAAACTATAAACAAAATCATACTTAAATATTTAAAGTTTTCAGAATTTAGATTTCTTGCTATGTTTAAAACAATCAATCATTATTATTAGTATACACTTTTACAGTAAAACCTAACACTATTATTTTTGCTTTAAATACGCGAAAGACAAAAACAGCTAAATCTACATTGAAAGGTCTATGTAAAATTTTAAATGATTTAAGGAGGAGACCGCCATGAGGGAATGTATATCAATATTGCTAGAGCGAGTCGTCAGTCTTCCTCTGACACAGATGATGCCATTCCGTCTTCAAGAGTATCAACAAAAGTCATCAACACAGATAAAATCAACACATATTATAACAATGCCGATATATTGACCACAGTTAAAATTGATGAATTAAAGGACTACATTAAACAGAAACAAGTAAATGAGGGCCTTCATTCCGAGTACAAGGTATTTTTACTTGGATGAAAATTCGTGACACTTTTTTTAATAACAGAAAGATGCAGTGTTTAAAGGGATGATTTTTTATACATGATATAGTTTTGTAGTTTCAAAGTTCTGCAATACAGAAAAGAAAAACAAAAGAACATTCCGAGATGGATATTTGGTTTCAGAAATTTGACTGTTGCAACATATAAACAAAGTTTAAAATTATTAGTTGGAGACATACCCATTATAGAAATTTTAAATCCGTTGCATGTTAACTTATTCATTTTACTCCTAATGACATTTTATAATACTTTGTATCCTCTATGCTACGAAAAAAAAAACCCAAAACGATCTTATATAAAATGACTGAATTGTGAGTAACGCTTGAAAATATTTCACCTTTAATAAAGCAAAACTGTTTACTAGATTACTATAAATCACATGGTACATTTTGAATTATATTATCGTACATTTTTATCTCTTGAGTGTTAACAATATTGTGAGAATAATTAAATAAACATTACAATATGACCGTTTTATTAGGATAGGAAAACAAGTGTTATTTCACTTTTACAAATTCCTCTACTCTACATCTCATTGCAGACTATCCCTTACGGTCCACAACACCCGACCACTACAGCACAAAAGAAAGAAAACATGCCAAAGAACAGATTTAAAACAACGTTCCCCTGTACGTATTTAGTATAATGTTATAATACACGTGTATTGTATGCACTCTGAACATAGAAGTATTATATATGAAGAAAGAAATACATAACGTTTTCAAATTGCTAAAATTATATAGTATTATTGAATAGAATACGGTGCAATTTCTGTCTTTTCACTCTCATTTGCTTTCGAATTTTAATATAAATATTGCTTGGGAGAATTGATAATTTAACAATAATGAATTTTACTACGTGAAATATATTGTTCTTTGTGTTTTGGACATAAAATAGTATTAGGACATTTACTCACACACTTGGAAGTCTATTATCATTTTTTTTTGGCACTTTAATTTAAAAATAAAAAGCAAATTAACTAAACGGTAAAGCTGTATACCGTAACTCTGGTGAACTTTTGTCGAACAACAGGTTTTATGCGTTTTGCATCCCAAACAAACTTCATTATGAACCTTTTTTTAAATAACTGGCATAAGCATGCCCTATTAAAACCTATGTTATGATTGCTTTAATTGGTGTGGTACACATCTCAGAAGACTCTTCATAACCTTGAGTTTGGGGGGATTTATATATTTGAAAATATGAATTCACACATGTATATGTGTTTTTCAAATAGATTCGTATTGTAATAGGCAAAGATATATGACATTGGATGGACATGCATGTTAATACACTCTCAATCCAAAATGTTCCTTTAGATGTACAACTCTTCCTATAGGGAATTAACATTGTTTCCTATAAGGAAAAATATTCCTGATATTGCATCGGCATAAATAACTCGCTTGTGTTGAAATTATTTAACAAGGTTAGTTGTTCTTCTATTATTTAACTCCAGTTTCATATAATTAAGTACATTCTTTTTTATTATTATCATTTTAGATGACCATACACGAGTAATTTTGCAACCTGTACCTGGATCTCAGCATATGGATTACATCAATGCAAGCTTAGTTGACGTAAGTCCAGTGTATAATACAGTTTCGTTATTTTATTAATCTAATGCATCGATGCAAGTTTTAAGTAAGTTTTTATTTATGGAATATTCATCTTAATGATTTTATTATTATTCTTATTATTAATGCAATACAAACGTGGGAATTTTAATCATTGTAATTGCTAGGAGAAAAAAATGTGTGTATACACCACGTCTCATTGTTTCTTGTATTATAGCTGGTTCGCTATTTCAGTCGTATGACAGTTGTTTTTTCTCAGCGATAGAAATAGTCTTTGAGATTAAAATATTAGGCCATTTGTTTTCTCCTTTGAATTGTTTTATATTTGTCCTTTCGGGACCCTTTATAGCTGACTATGCTGTATGGGCTTTATTCATTGTTGTAGGCCGTACGTTGACCTATAGTTTTTAATTTATGTGTCATTTGCAATTGGTCTATTGTGAAAAGTTGTCTCATTGGCCATCTTCTTATTTTTATACCTAATTATTTTTAATATTATGAATTTCGTGTGCTTTATGTTCCATATCTCTTTTTAATATAACTGTTATAAACTGTTTAACTATAAAATTTACAATATAATCAAAACGTTTTTATTATATACTTTTAGGGATTTGAGAAGGAAAGCTGTTATATAGCATCGCAAGGTAATATGAAGTTGCACTGTTTCAAATAATTATCTGAAAATAGAAAAACAAAATTTGCTTCTCACATATATATGTCGATTGATACATAAAGAATGGATACATGTGCTATATGATGTCACGTACACATGATAGATAAAGAATTCCCTTTTCTCAATTAAAGGTATTCAATCTTTTCCCGCTGAATTATAAAAACCAAATTCATCATCCAATATTTCTATGTAAATAATTTGTGGCAGACAAAGTGTTTTTGCTTTTTCAAGGATTTGTGATATCCTGAACGTTACAATAAAACATAATATAACAATTGCTCCGCTGTCCAATCGCCCAAAAGTCATATGTATAACACACAACAATTAGCATTACTAGTATATAATTTCATATCAAAAGTTCAACAACTGATGCAAATTAATAGTTTACTCTTTAAAATTCACAAATATCACCAACAAAAATAAATGAGACGCGTTGTGGTTTCGTGTATCGAGAAACGATAAAAAAAAACCCGCCAAACATCGTACATAGTAGGCACAAGTCACTTCACGTGGAAGTACTCGTCTTCTATATACACAACGGATCTTGTTTAATATCGAAAAGAAATGCGTATATAATATATGCAGACGAATAAATATATAAAAACGTGTTCCAAGATAAACACATAATTTAACATATAATAATAACACGTGTTTTGAATAAATATATTTTAATTAATGAAAAAGAGTATTGTAGGACCATTAAAGCATACATTCACTGACTTCTGGGCAATGATCTGGCAGAACAACACCAGGAAGATCATTATGCTGACTAACCTGATGGAAGTAGCAAAGGTATACAGATTAATTCTGTTTGTGTATTTGTTTTGTAAAGCAAATTATCTCTACATATTATAGAATTATTTTTGTGAAAGGTAACGAGTACAGCTTTTAGGTGTTATACCACCAAATCATAGTACGTCACATCAGGTTGCATACGAAAAAGGGTCGAAAAAATATTCCCTTGAAGTTGACAGTTGTAGGAAATTAATCCTACATTTCATTGCAGTAAAAACAATCTGTGTCATAGACATATATCTTGTGTGTTTCAAAGCACCAGTATTCTTTTATTTGATGTTTTCTATAGAATATTTTGGAAACTTGAGGTAACATGGCTACTAAAGCTTGGACACAGGAAGAAAAAGGGTGAAAAACTGCTTGGTTAACTTCCAGTGATGGTTTTTTTCTTATATGCATGAAATGTTATGTGAAATTTTGTCTATAGTACTGGACAGGATAAAACTTTACTCATGCAAAGTATTTCTTTATTTGGAACAAAGATAAATTCTGCACAATTTTTTGAAAAGTGCAAGTTTAACAAAGACTAATAGGGGAAAATCAATGGTGGTATTACACCTAATATGGGAAGCTGCACATTCACCTTTGACCTTGTGTGTACTCTGATTTGTTAAAATTTAATGCTATTTACTAGGATTCATGTCTATTATTGGCAAAAAAACAACAGATAATTTTTCTGGATAATCACCGTCCATCACTTTGTACATAATGGCTGACCAACTAGGTCGGTTGCATGTCAAAGGCCAGCATACTTTTGACAGAAGGTCTAACTTTCACGTTGTATCGACCATATTTGGCTCATAATTCATGGTTGCGAACTCTGCCTGTAACGATTGTTTAGATTGCATCTTATAATTATCTATGTTAATCTTCGCTAAGTCAGAGACTTCCTTTAGTGTTGGAGACAGCCTAGGGACAGCTTTGTCAAGTCTAAATCCTGGAGTTACAGCTGCAATCATGCCCATACCATGAAATGTTCCATGACCATCTAAAGTGCGCAGATAATGGTCTAAGTTATCAGCTATATACTGAACGAAAGTGTCATTCCCAAACTGTGTGTCGGTTCTGTCATGAGCAGCAGCAGCAGCATTAAGTTCAAACCTTTGAACCTCTGTGTAAGAAGAAGCAAAACCAAGAGTGTTCAAAGTGTCCAACAAAAACCTTGATCCAAAGTGATGATGCATTTGTACACTGAGGGCAATTTGTAGCGGTGCAATAAGTGTTCTTGGTCGGGTTGCCTGGATTATAGCTTGACCAACAGATGCAACTTTAACAGTAGAGTCGTTTTGACTAAATAATGCACTTAGAAATGTTCGTAACGGATCTGGGACAAAGGCAGTGTTTTGCTGTGAGTTTGTATCAACAGAAGACGAATATATAGATTTTGAATCTTTAAGGCTCATAATATCTGCTTTTATTAGCTTAGCTGCTGTTTCTATCATCGACAGCTTTTCATCTTCTGGACTCTTAGATGATGGTCTTCTGTAAAATTCGTTCAGTATAGATGATGCTGTTCTCCTGAATGTGACTATATTCGACTTTCCGTTTACTTCCGTGATGATGATATCGGATCCAAAATGAGTTTGCAGTCTCTTTTTCATGTGCACCACACTATACGCCTTCTCTCCGTAAATTTCTTCCATAGCCTAAACAAGATCGCTTACGGTTGCAGGTTCGTCTTGTGTTTCTTGTAATTGTCTAACTATTTGCAGGAAATCTTTCTCTGATAAATATTCTTTTGGTCGTCCTGGTGTCGTTCGTTTGACCTCTTTGTTTGCGTGCTTCGAAACGGGGATTTGCTTACCATTTCTAAAATTAACACTACATGTTTGGTGGTATATTGCATCTGCAGCGTGCAAATCGGATGGCGCAATGTTAAGCCTCCTCAAAACGTTTTCGGACCATTCATCATTTCTTTCTTTGCAGTTGTTTCTAGGGGTCTTAGAAAAATCTGTTGTCCTGACAGGAAACACGTCGATTTCCCTTTTGCTCTCCGAAAATTTTGCATAATTTTCACAAAATAAACAGTTCTTCTGGAACTCGAAAACAGGAGTTGAAGAGCGTAAGTCACGACTTAGCTCGGTTGTCGATAAATCCTTGTCTCGCAAGTCCTTCTTGATTGAATTAGCGTTTATGTAATCACGTCGACATTTCTGATGAACTTTTTGTCCTGGAGTTGTGACGACCGTATCATTTCTGGTTTGGCTGGTCCTATTAACTGTGTTACATCCTTTTTCTCTTAGTTGTGTTATTTCTTCACCATTGTTTAGAGACAACCGACAGAAAACACATGCATCCATCATTACCTAAAAAAATGATAAAACTGTTAAGACGAGATTCAATTAATTTGGTTTTGCTTTTATATTATTTTTATCAAAAGATTTGTTTTGGATACAGTATTAAAAAAAGATCTATGTTGAATTTTTTAAAACTATAAAATAATTCATATGTAGTGTCTGTACTCATTTTAATTCAAGTTCAACAGTTATTTTTTTCAGTTTGTTAATAGTTTCTATTTGTCGATATTCTGTTTCTATTTGTACTTTCCGCCGTAGTTCAGTGTGTTTTTATTACTTTATAATGTTAACGCTTATACAGAAACATATGACATTAATACAAGTATTAAGTGGCGCCCCTCCTCCTTTTCTGGTAAAATACCTGCTTGATGTATGCACAGAAAAACAACAGTAATAAAAATTGCCCCAAAATGTAATATGAAGTTTGATAGAGTGCCTTTCCCCTGCTTGGTGCATGGTAGCTCAGTTAAATTGTATAATGGTAGCTTTGTTAAACTGGACAATTCTAATGTCCCTCTATCATTTGATTAATAAATATTCATCTTATTTTGGTAAAACAATTTGTCTGTATCGATTTTTAAATTTTATTATCAGTTCAACTTCCTTTTTCCATGAATTCAATTTTGTTGGATTGTAACCTTTTTGGCACTAACGGCGTTCCATACTTTTTTTTTTCGTCAGCAACTCCTGGCAGTAGACTATAATTTCTTTTTACGGGGCGATTTATATATGAAATGTATATAATTTAGTCCAAATATAAAAAGCAGAGCTGTTTTACACGTGATTTGTGGTTTAGAGACCTCGGCAAACCGAAATGAACTCATTTCTGCCCTGTACTACTTTTTGCCGTCTCCCGTGTATTTACGCCTTTCAAAAACACAAAAAAATACCTTGCATGACAGCTTTTACTCTTAAGAGTGCTAAATACATATAAAACTTTTATATATAAGTCTTATATTTACTTACCAGAATGAAAAGGATGGACACTAGATGCGTCGTCTGCAGTTGACCATTACGAGTTGTCTCCCATATCGTCATTCTCAATCTACGGGCGCCATATCTTTCCATAATATTTGAAGTAAAATCTTGATTTTTTTTTGCCAAAATTGACGACTTTCCCCTATTTCGATATTTCTCGATTTTTAATGTGTTTCTTATACGTTATATCTCTCACGAATTCCGCAAAAAACATTTCTGTTGCAATTAGTTTGAGGTATAACCATAGAATGACTGGACTAATGGTTACTAAAGCTTGAACACAGGAAGAAAAAGGGTGAAAATTGCTTGGTTAACTTCCAGTGATGGTTATTTTTTTATATGCAATGAAACATTATGTGAAATTATGTCTATAGTACTAGACAGGATAAAACTTTACTCATGGAAATTATTTCTTTATTTAAAACAAAGATAAATTCTGCACATTTTTTTGTAAAGTGCAAATTTAACAAAGACTTAGACTAATAGGGGAAAATCAATGGTGGTATTACACCTTTACGATTATTTAAGGATACAGTTCTATTTAGCAGAAACACTAGAGTCGAATGGGATAAATCATTAACCTGCATCCGTAAATGTAACATGTTTATAATATTCTAAACTTAACTTTGTAATTTTATATGAATATGTTCTGCGTTGGACTAGCTTTTAAGATAGATATCTGATAATTTTTCTGATTAATTTACTGAGCAAAACTCCAAAAGAAGACTCATAGCCTTACCCGTGCACATAATTCTAAATTCGAGACGACATTCTCTGTTTAATGCTTAAATGTCGCTTCTATAAGAGAAAACAATCACACCTCAGTTAAACCCGCAACTTTTCTGGTTTTGTAATCCGACGACCTTCCTAGAGTGAGTATGCTACCATGAAATCAGCAAGATGATATATGATTTAAAAATACATTGTGACATCCGATGAAGAAATGATACATACAAGTGGTGATGTATGCACTGTTTAAACAACACGGTTTTAGTTAGAGTATGTGTCAACTATATGATTAATCATTTTTAGAAAAATAAAACATATAGAATATCAAATATGTATATCTACTCTGCTATTGTATGCAAGAAGACTATGATAAATATAATAAAACAATTCACTACATCTTCATTCTTCAGAAAATGCCTGTTCCAAGTCAGTTTTTTTATAAACTTCCGCCATTAACTCTTGTATGCCAATAGAAAATTATGATATACATGCAATTTAAGGGCAATAACAACATCCTATGTGTATTGAAGGTAAAATGTGATAAATATTGGCCTGAAGGAGGGAAGCCCATGGCTTTGGGAAACCTTATTCTTACTCTGCAGTCAGAAAAGGAAAGAGCAGCGTATGTTACCCGAGAAATATCGGTTGAAGATAAAAAGGTGAGTCCTTAACAAGTAGGCATATACATCTGCTTTAACAATTGACAAATGAAAAGCAAAAGGCTCTTATATTCGGTCTCCTCTAGGTGGAAGGTAGACGTTATGTTTTAGTAGTAGTTATTCTACTTCCTGTATCACCTCGAAGAGATGTGTCATTCACCATTGAACATTACTTCTACCTTGACCTTTACGAGACAATTTAAACTGAAATGGTAAGGCTATTTCATTCCACTATATAACACCTAAAATTTAAATATCTTGAACTTTTTTCTCCTTTGAATCTTCTCTCTCTTTCTTTTTACCTCTATACTATATATACTTTCAGTCTACATAACAAGACCTTCTAAGCACCATAGAGCTGTCTTGCCCCGCCCACTCATACCATAAGATGTTAAAAATATTTAAACAGTCGAAATTCATCCTAATAACCAAATATATTCTTAAATTCCAAAATAATGCATTTTCCTAACTTGAATGCATTGTTTTGTCTTCACCGACGTGACTTCTGAAGAGGAAGGTAGACATTTGCCTTAATCGATTAATCAGATTCAATCTCAGATTCTTTTTATAGTTAACAGTATCAAAAACAAATGGTAGATACTTTATTTAATAATAGAAGTTATACGATTTGCTACTGATACCCTACCGATCCATTGAGGGTTATATAAATTCAGTTGCTGGTAAGCCAAATCCCTTATTAACGTTACTAACCCTCTATGGCTCCATATGATGTCATTAAAGAACTGTTTACCGAATTCATCGCACGCTGGACTTTTCGTATCTAGTTTTGTGTAAAAATAAACAATGAAATACAATAACAAATATAAATCAATTGTTTTAAAAAAAATTGTTAACGGTCTTTCCCCTCCGAAACATGATTACTTGATTTTTTTATTGATTGATTGGTTGGTTGGATGGTTAATTGATTTATTGGTTGGTTGGTTGGTTGGTTGGTTGACTGATATACTATTTAACACATGGGATAGGGTCTCTTGGAACAAGCGAAAAAGAAACAAATGAGATTTTGGACCCCGTATTAAACAGATTGATTGGTTGATTATTTGGTTGGTTGGTTGATTGATTGATTGATTGGTTGATTAATTGATTGATTGATTGATTGATTGAAAGTTTGCATGGCACTCTCTCTATGCGAGGCATCGGACTTAACGTCCGTATTCTGACAAAACGTGGCTGCGTACTTGTTTATCCCGGACAGCCAAACGGACGGCATCGATTTCCTAATGAATAAAAGTCCTAATATCTTCCTTTTATTAATTTTCTCTGTTTTCTACGGGAATTTGTTTTTATTTTTTGTTGTGTGTGCATTTTGTTTGAACTTGTATGAAAAAAACTGAGTAACATTTTGTCTTGGAAGTTTCGCTTTCTATATTTGGATATGGAATGTTATATTCTAATTTTAGGTCCGCGCGCGCAATGGTGTTGTGAAGTCACGTGACGCTCAAATATATATGTCTGGAGTTAAAGAATATTAATATATTTTCAGGGGAGATAAGAAACACTTACAACATGATAGCTAAAGGTTGCAATTCTGTAAATACAGACAATGCGATTTCCCATAGGAACTCCCTTTGCGGCTAAAACTGTGACACTTTTACTATGAAGTTTCGTGAAAAAAAATATCCCAGAACGGAAAGTTTATATGCACTACTATTTTATTCAAAGGTCAAAATATAGGGCTGTGCGGCATATTTTCAACATTTATATGCCCTGAACTTCTAAGAGTTTAAACTTATACTAAAATTCTATACTACCCTTACCTCCATTTTTGGACCTCCTAAGAATTAAAATTTAGCCGCTACCATGTTTTTCTATACTGGTTACATTCCCAAGTGATGTCTCTATGAGATGAAACACAGAGATCATCAATGGGAACCAGTACGTTAACAAATTAACATACCTATGAATATTAAATATCTCCCCAAAAGAGGCGTGGTTTGAGAAACAGCTGTATTTACAAAGTGCAACCTATACAAACATTTATTCAAATAGAAAACTCTCTAAAAACACTTTTTCTCACAACAATACTTATTTATCAGAATTATAGCCTTAAAGAAATCACTGCATATACTCTAAGTCTCCTTTTACAGTACATTTTATACCCCTACCCCTGTTTCAATTTTTTAAAGATTTTGAAAACAAGATTCTAATTATTGCCAGCTTACCCTATGTGCATGTTTTCTGACATGAACTGTCTAAAACCTGTTTGAAACTATTCTGATAACAAATTGAAAGCATTTTAGAATACTATAAATGTATTGTTTAGTAGTTAAGCATTCCAACATTCAAGCTTATACAAAGTATCCAATCCTGCCTGTGTCTCCAGTCCACATCTTACTGTATGCCTATTTGCCAATGAAAGTTCACAATTTCTGCCTCAAATGGTCAGTTTAGAATTCTTGTCACAACAGTATCATCCCTAACCATATATCTAACATAAGTTAGTTAATATATGTCCTAGAAGTGTTTAAACAAAGCCATATTTGCAAAAGTTGTATTTATGAAGATATCAGTCAGGTGCATAAATTCACTAAAAGTTTGATTGAAATGACTGCTTACATCTGATTTTTGCATAACTTCCTAGCACAGTTATTGTTTACTTTATAAAAGACCTTTATAATAAAAAATTCATAGCATTTACAAGTTAAATTATCTGTTTTATGACTCAGGGGAAGGCATTTTTCTCTGTTTTTTGCCCCTGGGGCCTCACATTTCCTAATTTTTTTCCCTGTTTCTAGCAATGTGGAATATTTACTACATATTTAGGATAGAACATACTATTGTAAGTTTTACTGAGGTCTTTTTGTAATTCTAGCTTGTACTTTTTTATGCCGCAGTCACAAAAAAGCACATTTAGGCGTTACGGCTTACTTTTGGGTTATCGACAGGACAAAAACACCCCACCAGAAATATTTAGGAAGGATCAATGAGTTGCAATTACTGCGAAGAGTAAATATAAGCACTTCTAAACAATTTAAATTACAAATAGGCATATATTATGAATTTATTTTGAATTCAGGGCTTTAAGTAAACCATGCATACTGTAAACTGTGAATTTATGCTGAGTCATCATAGTTAAGGCCCAGGATTTTCTCAATCTTCATGAAATATTTATAAAACTTCATATTTGAGTTAAATTCTTTAAAATCTCTGAGATAAACCAGATTTTGTGAAATTCTGTATGTTCTATTTTTTAACCCTATATAGGTTGCAATTCTGTAAATACAGACAATGCGATTTCCCATAGGAACTCCCTTTGCGGCTAAAACTGTGACACTTTTACTATGAAGTTTCGTGAAAAAAAATATCCCAGAACGGAAAGTTTATATGCACTACTATTTTATTCAAAGGTCAAAATATAGGGCTGTGCGGCATATTTTCAACATTTATATGCCCTGAACTTCTAAGAGTTTAAACTTATACTAAAATTCTATACTACCCTTACCTCCATTTTTGGACCTCCTAAGAATTAAAATTTAGCCGCTACCATGTTTTTCTATACTGGTTACATTCCCAAGTGATGTCTCTATGAGATGAAACACAGAGATCATCAATGGGAACCAGTACGTTAACAAATTAACATACCTATGAATATTAAATATCTCCCCAAAAGAGGCGTGGTTTGAGAAACAGCTGTATTTACAAAGTGCAACCTATAGGTCTTTTTAGGTCTAAAGTACTTTGTTGATTCGACCATAACAGGGACATTGACCCTGCAATAAAATGACGCGTACCACTTCGACAAAAAATTTCTAGTAAGGACGTGTCGCGACAAACATTTTGGTTAAATTGTTTTGACGATATCTATAACTCTTTCTAGGGAGAAGCGATATGAACTTAATATAAAAAATCACAACATGACCATGACCTAGTTTTCTTACCTTTGGACCAAGGACTTCAAATCAACAGACCCTAGGTCTCTATTACTTATGGTTTACCAGTTACAAATGCATATCACTTATTTCAAATGCATTAGGGGAAATAACTCTCATATGGAGTCTTCGTATCGCTTCCGTCATATTTGGACAAACAATTTTGAGGATATAGCGAGCAATTTTGTAAAATAAATTTGTAGCTTTCTTTTACGGTTACGGAGGAGATGCACCCACAACAGGAGATTACTCTTACAATAAAAAGTCTTCGACTAAACAGGGTCAGTCTCAAAAGCGCAATAACTGTTTGATATCATATGCAAAAAATCTAAGCGACATCTTGCGAAACAAATTTGGCGGAAGAAGAAAAAAAATAATAATCAGAACAAATACAATAGGTCTTTCCACAGAAAAGTGGAAAGACTTAATAATCAGAAAAAATTCAATAGGTCTTTCCACAGAAAGGTGGAAAGACCTAATAATAATCAGAACAAATACAATAGGTCTTTCCACAGAAAAGTGGAAAGACCTTATAATCAGAACAAATACAATAGGTCTTTCCACAGAAAAATGGAAAGACCTAAATAATAGTAGTCGTGAAGTCATGATACCCGTATGAATTTAGCTGACCCCCAGTCACCATGTGACGCCTTTAACCTAACTAATTACATTGTCGTTAAATGTCACAACGTGCGATACAGTTTTCTATTGGTCATTGATGTGTAAACTAGGATTAATTAATTCACAAACTGAATATTCGTTAAAACAACTTGTCTGAAGCACATGAAATCACCCCATGTTTTTGACAGGGTGAGTGTTGCTCAATCGTTAGCTTTCTATGTTTCGTTTTGTATACTTTTATTTTTCTTTTGGTCTTTTTTCTTATTATGCCATTGCGTTGTCAGTTAATCATCGACTTATGGGTTTGAATGTCCTTTTGGTAATTTTCGCTCCGTTTACACATCAATAATCTTTAGAAAAATGTGTGTAATACTAAAATGATCATTAAGTTCTTTGTATTGTCTTTTAATTTCAATTTTCTTGGAACGCAAATATTCCATTCATATTTATCGTGCATGAATATAACACAAAATGAAAACGACATAGTTTTTACATTAGTTACGAAAGCAGCTTCTGCAACATTAACAAAGCGAAAAAATGCAAACTGATGTGTTTTAAAATTGCATTCACGTATTTATACATATGCTTTTAAAAGGGATCACTCGTAACCAACTTATATTCTAAATTTCAACTATCAGCAACGGCTCATTTATAGGACATTTATCTTATTTTTCTGTCTTTGAGTGTTAAACATTTTTATGATTTTTTTTTAAATATTTTTAATATTTTGTATTATTTTTACTATTTAAGGGACACCATCGTGTATTAATGTCTATTATCTTTCTAGACAAAGGAGAAAAGAAATATTATCCAGTACCATTTCACAGCCTGGCCGGATCATGGAACTCCAGATCCTCTGTACCTAGTGTTGTTTCATAAACATGTAATATCTGATCACTCTGATGTCGAGAGTGGGAAACTTCTCGTCCACTGCAGGTAAATAATGTTAGTGTTGGGCATCGTCTACATCTTTGTACTTAGGAAATATATATGACACATTAAAAACATTCATCATCTATACTTATATCGGATTTAATTTACCGGATTTGTAATAACATAAGCAACACGACGGGTGCCATATGTGGAACAGGATCTGCTTACCCTTCCGGATCACCTGAGATCACCCCCAGTTTTTGGTGGGGTTCGTGTTGCTTGGTCTTTGGTTTTCTGTGTTGTGTCATCTGTGTTATTATTTGTCTGTTTGTCTTTTTATTTTTGGCCATGGCGTTGTCAGTTTGTTTTCGATCTATGAGTGTGACTGTCCCTCTGGTATCTTTCGTCCCTCTTTTATATCATAATGGTTAATATTTTTCTTGATGCTGATACGAAAATCAACAATTCTCTGTATCCATCTCCTCATGTATTCAGTTTCCAAATTGATTACCTGTTTAACCGAAGGAGAATTTCCAGTGTTGCGCATATTGAAATTAGTGATATGCGTTCATTTTCGATTCTACGAATTCAAAATTTGATCTTGTCAAGTCTTAATCTCTCAGTGCCATTCTTTTCAGCGGGTGTGTACATGATAAACACGACGGGTGGACCAAGATCTGCTTACCCTTCCGGAGCACCTGAGATCATCCCAGTCTTTAGAGGGGTTCGTGTTGCTCTGTCTTTAGTTTTCTATGTGATGTTTTGTGTACTATTGATATTCTGTCTTTTTATTTTTTAGCAAAGGCGTTGTCAATTTAGTTTCGACTTATGAGTCTGAATATACCTTTGGTATCTTTTGCCCTTCTTTCAGTTACTCTTTACTATACTTGCTACAGTAGTTCTGTCGTATTCAAACGAAAATAAGTAGATCATGTAGTACATATTTTCACAATCAAAACGTCATACTTAGCATAAAGCATTTAAAGTAAGTAATGTCATACACCATAACTGTTTAAATCATACATAGAAATCAAATTACAAAGGTTTATTTGAAAATATATATAATGAATTCTTTCCGAATTTAAACTAATGGTAAAGAACATCCTGTTTGTCTACGACTGAGGTAATCATACACAGCCATGACCGGCATTTGATGAACTAGTCTGTAGGTGACAAGTTGCGAAGCAAAATTTCTGTCCCCATCCCAACATATCCTCATTTGCGCTATGCATGATTTTTAAAGGAATGTTTCAACTTTACGGCTAGAGAAATGTCTGTGCACACGTTAAACTTATTTAACTCCTATAATATATTCGAGTCTGTACTAATGCAGGCTATCGGGATTAGGTGTTGTTTTTCGTTGTTTCTATGTGTATTTTCGATTACATCTGGTTGGTGTAGACTGTTGTTCTGTCCAAAATGTTTGGGGCTTTCATGATCAGCTGTCCATGTTTTCTTTTCTCATTTTCTTTTCATTTTAGAATTTAACAATTTGCACATATTTATCTAGTGGCACATTATCAAGCAATCGAAATGAATAACCATATATTTTATAATTGCATATATACATTAAACATATATATCCATTTCATCAATATCGTAATCATGATTATAATAATAATATTGCCAGCACATCTATTCAATATTATTCAAGAATGAACATATAATCAGTGACCACTATCAGAAGTACTTTGTTTAAATAAAAAACTCATCAAAGATGCTAGGCTTATATATGTGTACTACGCCAGAGTCACGTTTCGTCTACAAGAGACTCATCAGTGACGCTCGAATCAAAATTTGTAAACGTTTAAAGGCCAAACCAAATTGAAGAACATTGAAGATCAAAAATCAGTTCGTGTTGCTCTGTCTTTAGTTTTCTACGTAATGCCTGTCATTGTTGGTTTCTTTTTGTCGTTTCTTTTTTGTTGCCATGGCAATATCTGCTTTTATTGGACTGAGGATTTTTTTTATGTCCCCTTGATGTCTTGGTATTGGCTTTCCCTTTTTGCTTACAATTCAAATTGACAATATAAAAATTGAGCGGAATTTAAGTATGCTGTTTGAAAAATCAACAAATATACACAAATACAAACCGACAGTAAAAGCGAATCATTCAAACTCATAAGTCGAAGACAATAAAAAAAAACTGACAACTCTATTGAAAACAATGAAGACGACCAAAAACAAACTTCTGTCTGTTTAACACAATATTGAAAATTAAAGACTAAGCAACATAAGCCCCATCAAAAAAAGTGGCGATCTCAGATGTTCCGAAAGGAATGACTTCAAAATAATCCCTTAGAACACATGGTGTTATACCTTCCTGGTTCGCAACAACCCGCTATTCATACAATGTTATAATTCATGATAGGAAATGCAAGCTCTGGAATATCATATCATTTGGGATATGAATAATCTATAGGCTTGCGCTGTTGGAATGCTGATACACAAAAAGGAACGTTCCGAAGTAGGAATATATATTCATCTCTTCGGTCGAAAAGTGCAGTTTTCAACCGACCCTTGTAACTTTCTAGACGTAAGTCAAGATATGGGGCGTCTGTTGTATTCTTTATTGTATCTCTAATAGGAAAGATGCATTCAACGTTGTCACCAATATGATTATGTTCTGAGAATACATTATATATCTTTATAGCGGAAGATTAAGTAAGAATCAGAGTAAGCTTGATTTTTTTGTATTCTTTCTAAGAAATTTTGTACGAAGGAAGTCTGTTCCATATAGATAAAGGAACAGGTCATGTGTTTTCAACCAAAAAAAATCAAGGAGTTTGTAATTTTCGGAGTTTGATTCAGAGTGTTGATGTTTATAGTTTATGAAAAGGTTTTGTGGAAACTTTATCCACTTATAAGTTGGCTTAAAACTCTTCTAAACCAAACCATTTTTATCCTTCGTATCAATTTCCTCTTATTAAAAATTTTGAATCCCACCTCTGCGATGAATTCGTCATAAAAGATCCTGCTTTACCTTGCCAGGTGTATCATTCCAAATAAATTAATAAATCTTATTATAAAGTAGACGTTCAAAACTGTCATCTGGAACTGTATCGTTTCACAGATGATAGCGGATATATATATATATATATACTCATATCTTGCTAATGTCGTTACTACCATTCAATCCCCTTTTCCCGAATGTGACCTACCGAATTAGACTTTTACAGGGTTTGTACTAACATGAGCAACATGACGGGTGCTACATGTGGAGCAGGATCTGCTTACCCTTCCGGAGCACCTGAGATCACCCCCAGGTTTAGATGGGGTTAGTGTTGCTCAGTCTTTAGTTTTCTATGATGTGTTTTGTGTACTATTTATTGTTTGTTTGTCTTTTTCTTTTTTTGCCATGGCGTTGTCATTTTATTTTCGACTTATGAGTTTGAGTGTCCCTTTGGCATCTTTCGCCTCTCTATCAATACAGGTTTTAAGTGTAACAGATATTTGAACAACAATTTTGATAAGCATACTTGACGATTATAATTTCCTTTGTTTACGGTCAATGGTCCACTTATTTGGGTACAATTTGCCAAAAAAAGAGAATAAAAGCAAATAGTTTAAGTCAACCACAAATTTAGCAAAAATAAAAAAAAGTAAACTATGCAGGTTGTGCCTTTTTGTGTCCGGGAGGATACACCATATCTTTCTATTAAAGGAAAAAGATATTTTTAAAGGACTACAGAGCTCAATTCGGGAAATAAAAAAATAACAATAATTGTGGCTGAAATTATAGTAAAATTATGAAATACATATATAGATAAATAAATTCGCAGAAACCTTTATAGTTTAATCATAAAGTCAATAATCGGTATTAAATGTTGCATTGTGAAAATGTTTTTATCGCACTGAATACGTTAATGACAATTAACAATATACTGAAGCTACATTGAACACATATTTCGAACTCTAAGAAATCATGTCGAAGAGTATTTGTTTTTCTTCGGTGAAGTGTCTTGCCTAACAAATTGGATATTACCATCAACGGGTATGCATGTCATTTATCATACGTTTTAACATTTTATTCAGCTGTGCGGATAAATAAGTATTCTATAATAAAGGTTTTAGTTCCTAATGTTTTTCTAATAAAGCCAATTTATATGTGTAATACCACCAAATAATAGTACGTCATATCCGGTTGCATACGAAAAAGGGTAGAAAAAAAAACATTCCCTTGAATTTGACAGCTGTGAGAAATTTATCCTACATTTCATTGCAATAAAAAAAATTCTGGGTCATAAACATATCTTTGGTGTTTCTAAGCAACACTATTTTTTTATTTGGTGTTTCTATTGAATATTTTGGAAACTTGAGGTTACATGGTTACTAAAGCTTGCACAAAGGTAAAAAAGATCTGAAAATTTAGTGTAAACAATATTTTTATTATGAATTATACAAATACATTTTATATACACATTCACAAAAAGGATTTAGAAACAAGGAACAAGTGCTTTTGTTAATCTGTTTCCTTGTGAAAATTTGATTGGTTAACTATCAGTGATGGTTAATTTCTTATACATGTATGCAATGAAATGTTATGTGAAATTTTGTCTATAGTACTTGACAGGATAAAACATGCCAAGTATTTTTTAATTTGAAAAAAAAGATAAATTCTGCACAATTTTTGAAAAATGCAAATTTAACAAAGACTAATAGGGGAAAATCAATGGTGGTATTACACCTTATAAGGAAAACAATCATAATGTAATTAATCTGTATTAAATTTTAGAATGAAAATTTTTGAAATGTACAGAGTATCGCACTACATATACATGTTATGTTTTTTTTTAGTATTAGTTATTACTGGTAAAACGTTTAATACAATATAAAAGCTACATATATTTATTCTTATTCTTAAAAGATTGAAGACATAACATTATTCGGAATTACATACATTATATGTGTAGCTCCTTCTCTTTATCTGCTTATAAAACTCTGAAATATTAGCATAGAGACGAGGACTATCTAACCAATAAAATAAAAATGGAATTTTTAAGTGCTGGTATTGGAAGAACAGGAACTTATATTGGATTAGACGCTCTTTATGAGGAGGGACGTGTCACAGGCTGTGTCGATATTGTCAAGTTTGTAAAGAAAATGAGATACAGTCGAATGAATATGGTGCAGACTCCTGTAAGTTCATACATTATTTTTCAAAATTATTTGAAGAAATCAGCTTGAATTAATCTCTTCATAATATATCGTAATATTCATTTTGTCCAATGAAAGATTATTCTGATATAACTGTAAATAATCATATACCTTATACACAACAGATGTGCTCTGATTTCTAATTAAATAAAATGAGATAACAATCCGCAAGAGACTATATGTCAACGTCATTCAGCCTATAAAGCTGTAAAAAGACCCATATTAATTGTATATACAAAAAGTTCAAACAAAACAAAAAGCAACGGCTTGAATTTAACCTAAGACAATTAACGAAAATTATTGTTTAAACGCAACAAGTCCATGATATAATCACGGAAAAATAATTTAATTGATCTACGATACAAAAAATACATGCATTTTGAATTGAACTTTTGAGGTACTTCAACATAAAAGTATATTAAGAAAGTAAATATAAAAATATAATTTTAGGAACAGTATGTGTGTTTGCACTATGCCTTATTAGAAGCTTTTACCATGAAAGACACAAATATCGGAAAAGAAGAATTTGGCAAAATATGGCGAGAAATACAGTCTGATAAACAACCAATCAATCATCAAAAACTGTACAAAGAATTTAAGGTATTTGTAGTTTTTGACTAAAGGTGGAAGGTGACAGACAGTTAATGAATACCCAAACATAACTTTAAAAAAATGTAAAAACATTGCTCCATCGTTAATTGTAAAAAATCTTTATCGTAATCCATTTAAAAGATAAGTAAAAGTGTCTGAAATTGCAAAGATATTAACGTTTTTCCTTAATGATTGTTTCATCATGCAGTACTTTTATATGTGGCATAATAATAATTTTAATTCTACAAAAATATGATTCACAAGGTGAAATGTATAACATCGATTCTAAATACGTATACGTTGAATAAAAAGTATTCCCAAACTGAAAGTTCAATTACTAATTAAAAGTTTCATGTAGCTGGTTTTTTTACAATTGATATGTAATGAGTAACTTAACACGCTGAAAGGACAAATGTGCCATTACATATTGTAGATGCTAGAAGCTAAAACATCTGAGCATGGAAAGTCTGAGTATACCGCTGCAACTAGTCCAGAGAATATGGAGAAAAACAGAAACAAAACAATCATCCCATGTAAGCTATGCATGACTATGAAAACTCAAGTTTATTTAAAACAAAATTATTAGTTGAGGGACGACAATATCAATCTAACATATACTATTCAATTAGATATTTCATGTTCTTTCTACCTTGATGGTCTTCAACTCGCACAGTAAACGAACCGTTATAGCACTATCACATTTAAATAAAAACAATGCATACATTTGCATGAATATAACATTTATCATATTTCAGCCGTACAGGATGTTCGTGAAATGATATAATGCAAATATAACTTCTCATATATTGTTTTTTAAATGTTTAAAAACAACAATTAACACTGCTTAAAAATACTTCTAAATTGATGCTTTCCTTAAATGAAGCATTACAAATTTATAAGTGATGTCAAGATAATCTATGATATCGTTTTAAGTACAAAATTATCCAACTTGGTCAAGCACTTCAACATGCCTCGAAGTAAAAGAAGGGTTTCGAGTAACTCCGTTACTCTGATTTTTCGCAATAAGGAATACTTTTAATATACTTTAACATATAAAAAAACAAAAGAATGTTTTGTTCGGAACGAAGATGATTAAAGCTCTTCCAGAAACATGTGTTATATGCACGAAATCTATAGCATTTGTTTGGTGGTAAACTGACAATCCCTGGCGGTACATTCCGTCCATTGCTGCAATATTGGTCTGTTTTATGTGATGTAAGATTTAATAAAAATGTTAAAAGTAATACGTTAAAAGTAATACGTTAATTAAGTGTATTCAATAAATGTCAAATCGTCTGGCAAATATAACCTTAGACGGTTTTTAAGGTTTTATTTTACCTTTCTTGGTTATATTGATCAAAGCCCTTTGCATTGTTGTTTCCAAACGTTTGATCTCGATAGTCCAGTGCACAATTTATTCCAATAAGTCGAGATATGCCCATTCATTTTTCTATAAGATTTGATTTCTAAGAATTTAAAATATAAAATTTTAGAAGCCTTAATTTCTTTTTTTCAAACATTTGTATCTATTTCGTATTAAAAAGGATGCTACTAAAAGTATATTCGTCAATTGTAAGGTGCAAATATCTGTTTATGCTGTTTACAAATGATAAAAATCACTATGAAAACACAAACGACGTCCTTTCTATAAACAACACCTCTTCTTATACATGTCGTAAATATTAAAGATGCAAAAGGAATATAACAAAAGGCTATAATTGTTATTCCTCCTTTTCTTCATTGAACAGCTAAAGGAAACTGAAATTCAATGATGCCTTTACTTATATTTTACCAATATGGTTAACGAATATTACGTTAATAAAATGTATTGTGAAATAGTCTTATAAAGCAATGCATGCATGCAAAATCCAGCAACGAGAAAATCTAACACAAATGTAGTAATTTTCTATATATAGCAATCTGAACATCTTTTGTAACACATGTACCACTTGATGATTATTCTTTTTTACTTTTGACAGCGGACAACAACAGATTGTTTCTAACAACATACGACAAAGGAAGAACTGATTATATCAATGCTGTTCAAGCTCCTGTATGTATAGGATAATAGGAATAATCCAAATGTTAATACAATTCTTATTTGTTTGTAATTATTTTACTCTTTAGTCTTCTATGTAGAGTTTTTTAATACTTTATTTTCCTTTTTTGCCCTTGGTTTTGTTTTTGTTATTGCACTGTTGGTTCCTCTCGACTTCTAAGCTTTACATTTGTAAATTACTTCCTTGTATACTCCTCTTATTCATCTCTTTCGGGATACATTCACATTTCCGAAAATCTTGATTAATGCCCAGTAAGAAAGCTGTATGCATGTTTGCACTGCTATGTTACCACGAGGAACACGCAAATAATAGCTGAAATATTGTAATTGATTTTTGAAGAAGCTAGCATAACTGAATCAAAATTGGACAGCGTGTATGTGTATAGATTCAAATGAGAATAAATTAACCACAAACTACGCATAATGCACAAGCCATTTGCGCTCACATTGTTTAAAACTGTTAACGTTGCAACATAAAACACTATAAACTGCAATATTTGATTGAGAAATGATGAGTTTTTAAGAAAAGAACGAAATAATTTTTTTCAAGTTGATAGCAAGCATAAGCGTATTAATTGATGTGATACATTTCTGCGGAAATCAACAGAGTAATTGATTTCTTTTTAAATTTTAACGTATTTTGTATATGGGAGAGTGGGGAGTGCGAACAAATCTTATATTATTTATTCAATTTTACTTTTATCAGTGTTGTTATGGAAAATGCAGTCAACAATATGAAAATGTAGAGTTTTAAGGTTCTAGCAAAATAACAGCACGTTCTTATAAAAAGTTGTGGCAAAATTTCCGTTAAATCAAAGAATATTCATGTTAGAAAAGGATTTTTATTATCTGTTGACAAACGAATGAAAATTGTTGGCGCATAGTAAACGTATCTCAAAATAATCTCTTGTTTTATCGTACACCTTTTGTGTATAAAAATATCAGTTAAAATATTTACGCAGTTTCAAATCTTCTTCTCAAAACTACAATTTGAAAATTTAGTAAATAATCTCAAAACGTTCGTGTACATTTTCGCCATACACTTGTCATTTTAAACTGAAAAATAAATTTTGCAAATTGCTATGCAACTTTTAAAGTTAATTGGTTTGAAAAATGTAACAAAAATCTTTTGAAATCACTTTTGAAAAATCATTTTTTTAATGAGATTTGAAATTTGTAATTTTCATGAGATTACATTTTTTGATTTCACGAGGATATTAAAAAAAATAATAATAAGTTTGTGTTAAAAATGATTTAATTTATCAACAGTTTGAATAAATCAAAACATTTGCAGTTAATTGTTTTATAAAAAAAAACATATTTCAATCTCATTCTAAACAGCAAATATTGAAATTGCTGACCTTAAGCATTTTTCATTTTGACTTTAAATATTGAAAAATGAAAAATGCTCCAACGTGGAGCATTTTTCAATTTGACTTTTAATATTGAAAAATGAAAAATACTACAAGATGGAGCATTTTTCATTTTGACATTATAAATAAGAAAATGAAAAATGCTCTAAGGTAGAGCATTTTTCATTTTACTTTGCAATATTAAAATTTGAAAAATGATCCAATCTGCATCATTTTTTTAATTTTTGATAAGTAGAACGAAATGCAATTTGTTTCAATAAAGGTGTTTTAAATTTTCAAATTGACGACACCATTTTTAAATGTTTCACTGTTTCTTTTTTCTTTTTCCTTGTTTTAAGCAAAATATCTTGAGAAACTTGTTAATGATGTACATACGTGTGCACTGTGTGTGGTATCACAATTTATTTTTAATATTTTTACTGACTCGTGGTCTTTTAGTATGTGCTCCCCCTGAGTGCGGGAGGTTGTGGGTTTGAATCCGACGCGGTCAAACCAAATATTTGAAAATACATATTTGCTGTTTCTCCTCTAGGCACTGTGCATTTAGGAGTTAGAACAAAGACTAGTCGACGCGGAGGCACAATAATGTGTCGGCGTAGGCTGGCATGTCTACCTATGGACTGTTTCCCTGTGAAAGAGCACATTAGAAATCAGGCTCAGTGTGACGTCTAATACAAAGTAGGGTTTAAATTATGGTCATATGTTCTCGTCTTAAATATGCATTTAATTTGCCATTTGACCTTAAACGGCCATTCGTCATCATCACCATAATTTTTTGTTGATGTTTGATAGAAAAAGTCTTAACTATCATATAAACACGAACACGGCATCAGTGTTACTCCATTTAGTCATATTTCGCCTATTGTTGCACGTAAAAATATTTTCAGGAACATGAGCTCACTGTTTGAACGCTCACATTCGAAACTAGTGACTATCGTGGAGACCATTTATGAATGACAACGATACCTTTGGATGATCAAACTAGATGCATTTCTTAATTCTTTCAGTTTCTGACCTTTTGGAATTATGTTTCTTCAACATTTTGCCAGAAATACAATCACATTAATACTTCGGAAATAAACCCACTTGTCTTAACAAGTTCCAGAATTGTTTAAGGTTTTCGAGCCATGACATGCAAGGTCTATACTCGGGGGAGGGGGCACTTACTATATCAATGTGTGTTGGGGGAAGGGGTGAAATTTAGTAGGCACTGTATTCCAATTTACGAATTCAAGCAAACCAAACAACAAAATCAGATCGATTTGAATTTTTAATTTCGCAAAAGGTCAATAGATGTCCATGTATGTTAAACTTTTTGTTAGGTTGCTGACCCTGATTATCTCCTTATGCATATCTTAAATATAAGTATACTATAAGGTTTGGTTCCTTCCTACTCCCCTTATTAATACATCCCCTTTTCAATAGTTCCTTGATCCACTACTGATTAAGCTAAGAGAATAGACTTCTGTAAATTACTTCTTCCGTGTAGACAGTTCATCAAGACAAATAAAACAATTAATATTATAAACATGGTATATATTACACGAGTTCAATATTAGAGGGATCATGTTATGAAATAGGCGAGGTCCGACTTAAAATTAGATTTATTTAAAACTTATCAAAAAAGAACAAAAACGTTTTCCGCTGTGAAATTTTATTGAAAATAGCAACCAACGCATACTGAATATGTAAATGCTCTTTTTGTTCCGACGTTGGAAAGTTCCGGGCGGAAAGAACTAACTAGCCGAAAAGTTCGGGTGGAACTTATTAACTAGTTACTTTGTTCTTCCTCTGGTTTAAAAGTTCCACCGGAACAAAGTGACTAGTTGAAAAGTTCCAACGAAACATATCAACTAGTTAGAAAGTTCCTTTTTGCCAAATTAGTCAAAACCGGAACTAACAAACTAGCCCAAAAGTTCCAACGGAACTTATCAACCAGGCAGAAAGTTCCATTTGGAGAATTGATGCAAAGTAAAAGCGCAACATATTATATTTGAACCTTTCAAAGGGAAACCAAGATACTGATTACAAAAGTCAAATGGAACTTATCAACTAGCCACAAAGTTCCTCTTTGGCAAATAAGTCAAAACCGGAACTAACAAACTAGCCCAAAAGTTCCAACGGAACTTATCAACCAGTCACAAAGTCCCATTTGGAGAATTGATGCAAAGAACCACATGAGGAGGGGGGTATTCTTCCCTCTCTTGAGGGTACTATGAATACTAAATTTGCATGATAATGCAACTTATTCCGTTTTATGTGAGCTATGAAATACAACTTAAATTTTGCATATTTGTCTCCAAAGAAACCCCTTTCAGTGCGTTGGGTATTCTTGTAAATTAATGATTTGCTCTTATATATACTGATACTCATTCTTCCCCCTCTTTCTACAAAAAGGACGAAATATGGTATATGCGGAACGATGTAACTAGTTGTTCTGTTTCGCCAGAACTATTCAACTAGCTACATTGTTTCGGGACTTTTCAACTAGCTACTTTTTTCCGGAACTAGTCGACTGCACTCGGAATAAAACAACTAGTTGGAAAGTTCCATCGGAACGAAATAACTAGTTGAAAAGTTCCGCCGGAACAAAGTAACTGACGGAACATAGTGGCTGTTACAAATACACATCAAGGATCAAATCAGTATAGAATTATATTCACTTAAACTTTTTCAGTCTCGTATTAGGGAAGGGTATACAATCACGTCAGACCGACATTCGAACATTCAATGAACGCATTTAATGTGTCTAGTGTTCAGACAGTGCAAAACACATTTAATTATTTTATGATGTCCTATCCGACCCACTGTGCCCAAATAACCTAGCCCATTGCTTTAATCTTAAATACTAGTATGTTAACGTCTTAAATGTGGCTGAAATGTTTACCACTCGACTTGAGAAAGCAACTGATAGTACTGTAGTCTTGAGATTGCAATCTGTATGATTTATTCGCCAGCCATCAGATATTATGTCTACCAGAGTAAACAGTACATCAGTACTTTGATTTGTTTTACTCTCATGCATTCACACCTTGTTATCAAATTCCTTATTTTGAGATGTCCTAGATAAGCTAAATTAATTTGAAAATCAGATGTCTCTGTGATTTCATCAGATCTTTTGTTTACTCTCAGATTGGTAAATTTATAGGCATGATATATTTTATAACCCAACCAGTTTGGGGTTTGTTTTTTTTTGTGTCGTTTGGTTGCTTACGTATTTTTATATACCTCACATTTCATTTAATTCATACATGCCATCACAAAATGACAAGTGTGGTTTCTGGTTTTGGCACTCTCATGCACATGAAAAGTAAAAAAGTAATTAAAAGGAACATTGAGGTGCATCATAGTTTATCCGCCTTTAAAATATATCCCCCACCTTGTGTATCAACCAAAACATTATTAATAGTTTTCATAATTTAATAAATATGCATTACCAAAGAACATGAAGAAGCAGTGATATGAAAATTACGTAGCGACTGAGCAGGTTGATATAGACGTAGGGAAGGACGATAGATATCATAATTGTATGATAGTTTTTTTTTTCTACGAAGTCGATATTAATAACGAATTTGTTACCTTTGACCATAATGTTGCTAAACTGGTAACAGTGTGGTCGTT